TTGAATTTTAGTTCATACCTCCTCCTATTTTCGGCTAGCCTGAAATTGGTAGAACAGTAAGTGTTTACTTAGCATTGCACCAATTAAAGTGTCAGCGACTCGCTCTGTTTAGTTGTTCATCCAGATCTACGTGTGTGTCAGGCTACGATGAGCTTAAAAATGTTATCCGCTGAATTTATGCCAGAAGCTACCAATAACTCCTAACCATCTTATAAAATTATATTACTTTCGATAGTTGTATTTGCCTTATTTACTACTGTTCCGATTGACAAATTGGCTGACCGTAGACTATAGTTTGTATAAATCCTTTGTACAACTTACAAGGCCTGATGAATCTGATGGTTGAATTTCTGTTGCTCTTACGATGTAGATCCGCACAATACATTCTTCGACCTCCGGTGAAACGGCCAGCTTATCAAAATAACGCATTGGAAGTGGTTCGTTTGGATCGTCCGGTAATGGGTAGATCCGAAATGTACCTTTAAATTCTCCAGCAAAGTTGTCTTCGTCTTCTTCATAGTTTTTACCCTTGGTCAAAGTAAATGTGTTGCAGAAATCGCTAAACCCCTCAAAGTGTTCCACTTCTTCCAGTGGCTTCTTGTAAACCTGAAAAGAAGTCAAAATGTCTCGGTAAGCAAAACCATCTTGCTACAGCTGAAAAAACAGTTCTTCATCTTTACGTTGCTGAGTTTTGTCCTGCGCGACTGAGTGCACAAGATAGGCTAAAGGGCCTTATATTTCGCTTTCAGAGATTATCTAGAACTTTCTTCTCCTCAGAGGAGGGCACATAAGCATGTACACATTTCTTAATACATCTGTAAACATTAGAACATATTTGAGGCTTGATTTGCCATGAGTGATATACTGTTCACAAATGATGGCAACTTTCATGATTGTAATGGAGCGTTGCTAAGTAAATTGATCTTTCGATGATAACGTCCCGGTAGGTGCAGACTGGCGAACATTCCCGTAACCTTGACACATGTAGTACCCAGTTAAATGAAAGCTGACCTACCACCAGTGTATCGTATCCCAGTTCTTTGTACTTCAAACACTTGTCCCACTGACCCATTGATGCGTAGAACTTTGACCACCAGTCGATATCATCATCCATCTGTTGCATGTCCATCTGATTGGAAGGAGGTAAAAGACAGAATCCATTATACAAGAAGATAAAATATGCCTTGATGATTTCAATGTTTTCAAATGAAAGTAGAAATAACTAATACCTTGACAGTATTATCAAGACATATTCAAACCTTGGGATTAATAACCAAGTTTATAGATTGTACGATCACCTGTAAGTGCACGTTATTTATTAAACGACACTGATTCATTTCAGATCATCCACTCAAAAGCAACAATCGGTCACTACGATTCATAAAAGCCCTTCATTAGCAAAACGACTTCTTCACTATCTGTATGCAGCGTGAAGTGATTGTCTGATTGTTTCTGCCGAGATTTATGCAAACGCTTATCGATCTAATGTGTGTGCTGTTGTGTATAATGTTATTCTCTTTGTAAACGAATGTATACTCTAACATCTTTATCGAACGTTTTAGTTTTCTATCTACACACTGTTAAACTGTTAGGGCGCCCCAACATGTGACCGGCCCAAGGACGCCTCCGTCGTGAGAGCGAAGGAAAAAAATCACTCGACTCAGTCCGAACCAGCAGAACTGTTCAAAATCGGTTGAGACTTTCTTATACCGCTATACACATGTGTGGTCCTAACTGTTTCTCATGATGGGGGGTATGTGTGTTCATGACGTTCCCTATAAATAACTTGTACTTGTCGTCCTACCTCGCACACGTTTTGTGGTGGAACAAAGCTTCTTATTTTGAACGCGTCTTTTGGCTTGCTCTGGGAGTGATTACGGGAACAGTCGCGGTACTATTCCGGACCGAGATTTTCGTCTGAATTATTACCGGGACGAGAATCCGATTTTATCGAGCGTACCACTATACCGAGATCGAACCAGTGTACCGTTTAGGAGGGTTTACAACATAAACATAATATTCTTTTGTGATGGTACAACGAGGCATTTATGTAGACCTTTTGTGAAGTGGGTACTTACCCTAAGACATTCGTTCGTTGTTTTGTATAAACTACGTAGCGGTTAATTTTTTTACTCACATTCAAGTGATAAGGTATATAAGGTGTATATGTAAGTATGTATGTAATGTACATACGCATCCTTATAGCACGCAACCAGAAAAATACCTTCAGCAGAGTTAGTTTGCGCTTTTTTAAACCTGTGAATTTCCACTTCATTGTTTTACGGGATGCTTCCAGTGTTGCATCTCCAGGCCCCGTTGATGGTACGATGCGACTTGACTGAAGAAAACGAAATGGAACATTTATTTTGTTTCATTGTTTATGTCAATTTTTGGTGAATTAAATGAGAAGTGATTAGTTGTTCTTTGAAAAAGAGTTCTGCTCAGATACTTCATACAATCAGTTTCGCACAATTTATCAGGTATAAATAGGGTTAAGCAAGCATAGCATGAAGCCAGTATGCTTGTATCAGAGGCACGGTAACTTGGCTGGCTATCACAGCTATTGCCAGTACATAACTAAGTAGAAATTTGTATCTTGCTGGCCTGATGAATATTTAGTATCGTTCGCATATGGCAATCCTTACTAGAATTGAAATTTGTGTAAGGCCTGACTGGGATAGTGTGATACAACTCACACTGGTCATCTTTTCTTTTCTCTCCCGAATATTCCCAAGTTTCTGGTTCATGCTAAACATTTTCTTCTCAATTACACAATTGATGTGCAACCCGGCTCCGCAGTCCCTCGCTAATGCGTGACAACTTGTTATCCCTCGAGGTTTCCACAAAGTGCACATCACTTACTTGGTAATCCTATCGAAGTGGGATGGATTGTATATGTTGTGGGTGATTTCGCACTCTACATTTGTCTTCCTGCCTACGACTGTCTGTTTCACGGCGTCTCCAGATTTGCTCTATTCTCTCACGAAATATGACTCCTGTAGCAGTAGTCTTGGCAACCACACATACGTTCGTTTTTTCTTTTGATGAAGTGCCTTGTTTATTCACCTTGTCCCCGTTATATCAGATATACGTGTGTCTTTGCAATTGCCGCCGAGTTATTGTCTACACACTTTATTGGTCGTTTTTAATACCATTGCCAACAACTTGGATCAATTATTTTCGTGTGTGGTGGTTAGCATTAAACTACCAGGTACCCACGTACGCAACCTGTGCGCTCACATCTAATGTAAACTGATACCACGCAGGACACAAGTTATCCGGTAGTTCATTCAATCCGAGAAAGCATGGTTCACTGAAGGTAAGGTGTTAAGCGACACACGTGCCATTTTGTCGTTCACTTATGTGTTACGCTTGTGGTTTACAAAGCCCCAAGATCCGAGTTACTTATTTTGTTCCACTCACTAACATTCTGATATACGTCTCTTTGGGGACCATTCTCCACTGTTAACTTCATGGCGTGCATATTAAAATATACTCTACTGTTAAAGTTTGGCAGGTAAAGCATTATACCTGACATAGTATATCGGGAAAACACAGTCGAATAAACAGTTGTCTACATAACAATAAGTCGTGTACTATCCAAAAGTTGTAATTTGCTGGTACGAACATGTGACTAAGTGTAACTGTGCGAAGTCGTTTCGGATTAGCTCTCACTGTCATTTGCTTTTGAGAAGCTAAGCATGGAAGTGAGTTAATTCCAAAAACGAAATAGTGTTGTGATCCAAGAACGCGGATGGCACAAGGGTTATTTATTCGACCAAGCAATACAGGGGTTAAGCATTGAAACAAAACCTGAAACAAAACCTGAAACAAAACCACTCATTTGCACGCGGTATTCAGCCTCAGACCGTCTCGGCTGCCGCAGACGTCAGTGCTCAGTTTCATTAAGTAGCAGGAACTCCCATAGGTGATACTGCACTCTGATTTTCCTTCCTGCACTTTTCCTGCGGCTTGTAGCATGTCAAAATATATGCTCCGATCCTACTACTGAATAGCAGTTGTATGAGTAGTATGTTACGATCGCTCAACTCCACTACAATAGTTCTTGTTTGTTCAGTTGAATCTTGATGATGCCTCTGACGATTGGATCACCGTTTAGACAAAAGTCATGCCTAGGTCAGTAATCAAACAAGTCTTAGGCTGCTAACTAACTGATAACCAACCATCGGATAACGGACTAATCCATTTAGTTTATCATACGGGATGACAGCCAAAACCGTCCGTAACTTTCTCATTTTTGTTCACCTAATCTTAGTTATCACGTTTAATAAATATTTAATAAGTTGGACGATCATCCGATTAATTTCGGTGTTGTTGATTTCCTTAGTGGCTTGTTTAGCGCCACTGCATACAACGCAATAGAAATTCATGTTTTTTTGAACTAATCTAAGAGTCACTCCGTTTTTGCGCCATCCGGGTCAAACTGCAAAGGAAACGAAAATGAAGCGTCTATTATGTCAACAAATTTTCAAAACTTACGGACTTTTTCTTAAGTTTCGATCTCTTTTCTGGTTTGTTCCTAGGTTGTCCCAGCTCGGAAGCCAACAAGGTCGCATCACATAATTCTGAAACCGATTAAACTGATATCAAGCCATTAACCAAATGACATTGAAAAGAAGTCTAATAAAATCTGGTTTGTTAACTCAACTTCAAATGTCTGATTCTATTTTCACAGTCTGTCACAATGTTGATTACCGTCTTACTGATCGAACAGTTACTCTATCTCCTCTCAAAAAAGCTGAGTAACCAGGACACTACTTACACTCTATTGTTTAATTATCTGACTTGCCGGTCAGGTCATAACTAGTGTGATGCTATTGGAGTAGCAGCCTGTACAGTTACCTTACAAACACAAGGATGAGAATGCAAACTTCGGTCCGGCAAGAATATGACCCTCAGGCGATTGGAAATCGGGTATTTTAGTGATAAGTGGTTTGGCAGATTTAGTAATTCAGAAGAGATCCAATTACGGAAAATCTGGACTTCGGCTGAATTCGAACCAGCGACAAAAACAACATCCCCAGAAGTGACAAATGCTCTACCAGTTGAGCTACGAAGCCACACAGGAAGCTCAGAAAGTTCACATTTGTACTTAGTTACCCACCCAACTAACTGTCATATGGAATCCAACAAATCATCCAGTAGGTTGACGGTCGAAGCAGAATTCATTGACAGTTTCACGCTGAAATCCACCAACACTACGGAAGAGCGTTGACATCGTACTACTGATAAGTAGTAGCTCAGCTGGTAGAGTATTTGCCGCGTCTGGGCATGTTATTTCTGTCGGTGGTTCGAATCCGACCGAAGTCTCGACTTGTTGAAGTTGGTTTTCTTCTAAATTATGAAATTTGTCAAACCACTTATCAGTAGCGTACGAACATATGAGTATACAGTAGAGCCGTATTTATGGTTGAATCATTGCTGTCATCCGCTCACAGAAGTGGGGGCTAGAACAGGTGCTCCTAATCAAAGAGCATTCCGACCTTCTAATGGTTGACCGTGACCGCCGGCGTACTATCTTGTGCTGTCGGAAAACTCGCTTTAGTTCTCAGAAGCTTCTCACTGCTGACCGAATCAGTCTTTTGAGTCATTGGCTTCGGGTAGGGTCCCTCAAGAAGTCCTCACATCCCGTTACCCCTCGGGTCTGGTTTTTGGGTGAGAGGCTTCAGGTGGGGTCCCCCAATAAAATCCTTTTGACCTTTGCCTAACGGGCGGAACTGTTGAGTCAGAGACTTGATCTGAGTTTTCACATGTCAATCTGAAACATGCTTATGGACGTGAAATGTGTGTACGCCGCTGGGTCAGTGCAATACCGAACTGCCGGAACGCCACAATGTACGGATCGCCATGATATCCAGAAGCCGGGTCATCGATGTCGCAGCCGTAAGTGAGACAAGGCCTACAGACCAAGGTAAGCTCCGATAAGCAGGTGCTGGGTACGCCTTCTATTGGATAGGTTAACCGACAGACGGTGTTCAGTAGCACGGTGTCTGTTTCGCGGTCATTGACTGCATGAATTATTTGATGATAGACAAACCACACGACACCAGCCATGTCCATGTGTCTGAGACTCGATTGAGTTAGGTCTGCTACATTTCTTAGTGTTCATGGTTCAGTTGGCTGTCACACTGGTGGCACAAAGGACCAGTTCTGTAACCGGTTATCTGTCACAATCCGCCTGCTAGCTGTGAGTCGCAGACTGTATCTTTTAGGTGACTTTAAAACACGAGTTGGGCGCGACTCAGCAGCCTGATCGGGACTCCTCGAACCTCACAACATTTGTGTAGTCGATGAGAACAATGGTCGTCATCACTGCCTGTGTGCTACTCATGACTTGGCTATCACAAAGATCAGATTTTAACTGGATAGGAGAAGTATCACGACATGGACTCACCCACGAAGCGATCATCACCATTTCCTTGATTACGTGATCGTGGCTGAGCGTAGTATGGTTCATGAGTTGGTCAGGACTAAGTTGTTTATTCATGCTAACAAGTTTATTCCTTGTAAGTCGTCTGGACAGTGGCAGGAACTAAATGTTAAACGGTTTGTAGAACGATATTTCAACGTGCGGTTATTGCTCGGATGGAAGACTCTTCCGTATCTTCTAACACTGACGGTATGTGGTTGTACTTCAAGTAACAGGTCACAGCAATAGCTGTTGAGACGATGGGTATCCAGCACCAGAAACTCTCGGATTGGTTCGATTACGACAGTGCGGTTATCTCCAACTTGATAAGAGGGATGATTGAAGTGTTCACTGTTTCCGCAGTGGACCCGGGTCTTGATGACAAAAGTATCATTCTACGGAATGTTCGCTGTCAACTCACTTAGCGGCTGCGTGGACCATGCGACAACCAGTGGAAAACGTTGAATGAGTTGATGCAGAGCTCTGTTGACCACCGACAACACAGAGAGTTACTTGATTCGTTTAAAGCCAGTTTTATCCAATTTGTCCACTATACTAAAGCACCGTTTGACAGGGATTCTGGTTTTTCATGCACACAACCGGAGGACCTCATGATAGTCAGGAGGAAACATTTTGGTGGCCCACCATATCGACTACTGTTGACTGTTAACCGTAAAATATCTGCTAAAACAAGATAACAAGGCGTCACTTGCTCTCGTATCAATTTTGACGGAAATGAACAGAGTTTCTAGACAACTGAGAAACGGAAAGGCTCTAGACGAAGATGGATTGCCAGGGGAACTTGTGAAGCATGGCGGTTCAGTTTTGGAGCACGCCACGCTCTTGTTGGTTTGGTCCATCTGCGTGCAGGAAGCAGTCTCCCATTGAGTTCAAGTATATCTTAATAATTCCTTTGTCTAAAGGTTAGGGGAACAAACGAAGCACTGGCAGTTATCGGGTCATCATTCTGCTAAGGTATGCCAGAAAGGTCTTACGGAGAATCCTATTGGATCGACACAATGTAGAAATTTTGAGGACTAATGTTTCCGGAAGGTAATGTGGATTTCGGGAGGCACAGTACGATCGGCACGGTGTTCTCTGCTTGACAAATACAGAAGAAGCGCCGTGAATGCAGCCAGCGGCTGTGTACCCTCAATGTGGACTTCACCAAGGCGTTTTATTCCATGAGACTTGAGGCATTGTGGACAGTGCTTGGCAGGTTTAGATGTCCAGATATTTCAATCAAACTGCTAGGTGTGAGTGTGAAGGCCAAGGTGCAGTCTTGCGAATCAACCTCTGGTGACATTTCCACTGACATGAAGCATGGGTGTGTCTTAATCCCAACCATAATGACCTAATATTTAGTTGCGACGCTCCCAGTTACTTTTAAGAACTATGAGGGGGTTGTGAAAGCTGAATGCCGCACGGATGGCCGCTTGCTGAAGATTCGACGTTTTGAATCCCCAATTTGGCTGCGTAATTCAATAGGGTGCATGCTGTCGTTTGAAGATATGTGCTATTTGCACACAGGGGAAATTTAGCGACTGTTTACGATCTTCACGACCGCAGCATCAAAACGTGCATTAGATGTCAACATAGTTGAGAGCCTTGTTTGGGTGGAGTTGCTGCGCGTACAACTAGAATTAAATTGTAGATAGCTGCACAGAAACACGTTAACTCAGTAGCAATTTGTCGACGGATTTGTTCGTGCAGCACAGGTTGCGAGTTCATCAAAATGAACGCTGGCGCTCCTTTCAGATGTCTTAGTAGACGTGTCTGGAAGAAACACAGCCTGAAAATGGAAGCCAAGTTGCCTGTCTATCTCTCGGTGGTGCTGGCTACGCTGTTGTACTGCAGTGAAACGTGGAAGTTGTTTCAGCGGAAAGGGCAGTATCTAAGCCGCTTCTGTGTGTAATGTCTAAGATACATCTTGGGTAATTGGTGGTTGGTTGCGAGTACTGAGTTATTTCGGCGAATGGACGCAGATGGGCTTAAATCTGTGTCGATGCATAGTCGGTTTCATTGGCTAGGACACACCAGTGGGATGAACGATGAACGGAATCCGGAGCAGCTGCTGTGTGAGCAATTGGAAGCAGATGAACAAAATCCAGGTGATCAAAAGCTGCAATATCATATTGTCATCCAAGTCTTTCGTTTCGTTATATAAGTTTTATACTTTGGGAGGATCCAGCCTTGAACCGTGACGTTTGGAGGAATACGAGCCTGACGGACATCATAAGGTTCATTGAACTACAGTTGCGCAGTCATGAATTCAAGCGTGCAATGCTTAAAGGAACTACATCTATTCACCGTAGGTCCAGGTGACATGGCTATGTGACTGCGTTGAACGCCACCGTGAATGCGCTGACCGTTTTGGATTGTTAGGTCCTTGACGTATCCGTAGTACACCGTCAGTTATATTAAACACAGTTATATTAGAAACAAGTTAGGTTAGGCACAAGTAATTTATGTCGGCTATATCCATTGTTCTATTCGTTGTAATCGATGACCGTCGTTGTTTGTTAGGTCGCCCGCTTTCCTTTTCATGAACTTGGGCCACAGTGGCCTTCTACCTTTCACTTCTTCAGCTTTGGTAGTGCATTAGCTGATGAAGGTCATGTTTATTTTACGATCCAACTGCAAAATTCCGTTTTGTTTCATCGTCTTATCTCGAGTGCTAATATGTGCTCCTATGGACTGCTTTTGTACTATATATTCAATATCCTAGACTTTATCATTGGAGGTCCTGTTTTCGAGAGATAACGGCTCCACTTTCATACTGGTTAACCAGCACTGACTGTATGGACCGCTAAGGCCTTCATTCACATCTGCAGACTTTGATTCTTCGGGTTTACACTGGGTACTTGTTGTATGAGTGAAACCACAAGTGGAGCGCGCAAGTCACTTGTAGGCTAACCTGAAACGGATACTGCCAACCATGTGAAGTGCATTGCAGTTGCATGACCACTTGTTCTGTACACAGCTTTCTGATAAACAAATTGCGACTTGTATTTTCAGATCGCTAGACACCCTATTGCCGCGCAGCGTACGACGATTTATCTTTTAAGACATTGAGTTCCCTTAATCCATTTAGTCAAAACAGAGAAAAGATATGTCGCGAGATGTTAACATTTCGATTTACTCTCATCAGTCGCCAACGTAAAACCAGTAAATTTTATACAAACAACAATTGAACGAATCAACCACATAGTTCTGACTTTTCACGCACTAATGGTTCCAACAATTCCACTGTAAGGAGATTGATTGCGTTAGGGCCTTCTGTGCACGCAAAACTGGCCGATGTTTGATTAGCATTGCCTCGCTAATCGCTAACAGTTTCGGATTGCGATTATGTAGCAATATCTTGAACGATTTGACAGGGTCAACTAGGTGACCGGTTGCTAAGATGTGTTTGGCGATCAATGAAGCCGAGGTCTTCGAGTTTGTTGCAGTCAGCAGGTCGTTTTTTGAGATTACATTTGACAGCCACTTAGGAATATGCTCCGCCATACGCTGATGCAAACGCCGATCTGTCCTGCCTATGTAGATGTCATTACAACTGCAATTGAACTGGTATATTGCGTGGGAGACAGACTGATCGGTTGAGTGTGTATCACCGCTATGAAGAGCTAAACCCCTAGTGCTTAGCAG